AAGGGCTAAACGTAAAAAGGAAGATACGTTGCGACTAAGGAAGATTATTGGTAAAGTTTCATTGATCAAACCGTTTTTTGAGTAATGAACTCATAAATGCAATTATTGTATCGAGTAGATCAGGCATTATCTTTAGATCCAAGGATTGAGAAGTTTAAAAAAGAAGAGAGGGCGGCCAAAGAAGCCAAGAAAAAAGAAAAGGAAGAGGCAGCAAAAAATGCGAAAGAAGCGGCTAAAAGGGTAACTCTTGGTTGAACTTGTATATGTATACACATTTAATGTATGGAAATATGCGTGACCAATTCATTGTAGGCTGCCGAAGAGGAAAAATCAAGGAAAGAGCAAGCCGAAGCTGAAGCCAAGCAGAAGGTTTGTTGATGATTAAAATAATATTGTGATATAAAACTTGGCCTCTAACGTCTGATCTATTATTTATAGCAACAAGAGGAAAAAAAGAAGAAAGAAGCTAGGAAGAAGTCTATTCGTACCGAACGCAAAAACATTAAAACACACCTCAAGGTAAATGGTCCATTTATAGATCAATTATTCACCCATCTTTGCAAATTCATTATTAAAATTATTTTATACATTTAGTCATATAACTATTTTTATCCAGCTAATGAATCACCTCCTGTCGAAGTTATTGATGCGCAATTATCAGAGTTAGATACTTTATTCGAAAATTTGACATTAGAAGAACTTCAAACCGTCAGGAAGCAGATGGATTCTGCTAATGATGGGCAATCTGCGAAACAAGTTTTAATAAGTGAAGCTACGAGATTGATAAGTTCCGGTGTTTTCGCATCTGATTCTATTACACACTTTAAACAATGTAGGGAAAAAATTTGAGTATTTTCATGTATATGGGATTTTTGAGATTCTCATAATTTTCTCTGACGATATTAGCGGGTATCATCGAAAATACTCTCCAAAGTACTATTTCCATCGAAAAACCAAATGTCACAGAAGTTTCGAAAGAGGAACCAAAGGAGAGGCCATGGAGCGTAGAAGAAATATCGTTATTGATAAAGGCAGCAAACAAATTCCCGGGTGGAACAATAAATAGGCAAGTCAAATTATTTGTTGCTAGGAAAAGGCGAATTGTTATCTAACATGTTTTTTCAGGTGGGAGAAGATTAGTGAGTATGTTGCAGACCATACTGGATTATCACCAAGGTCAAACGAAGAATTAATAAAAAAATCCAAAGAAGTTCAAAAGGGTGAATATCACAGTTTATTATACATCAAATGGTTCTTATTAATTATTAATGGTTAATGTGTTGAAACAGGAGCTAATGCATTGAACGAAGAGGATGTGCGTAAGTTGCAACATCAGAAAAAACATGCAGACACGCGTATCAACGAACATCCTTCTATGCGAGAGGCTACTATAAATTATGATGACCCGCTTCATGCACAAGTTGAAGAGGCGCCAAATGGTTCGCACGAATCAGCAAAACCAAAGAAGACCAAGGCAAAATCAAAATCCTCGTCACAACCTGTTGAATCTCCAATAACGAATGTTTCCGCGGCGAATCCAGATAGTTCGACAAAGACGTCGGAGGAAACCCCTATAAACGGGTCTACCTCAGCTGCAACGTCCAGTAATACAACCTCTTCAGTTCAATCGACGACTGTGTGGACTGCTACCCAACAAGCTCAACTAGAACGAGCCTTACAAATGTACCCGCCTTCGTGGAAAGGTGACGGTGATAGATGGGACAAAATAGCGGCAGCCGTAGAGGGTAAAACGAAGAAAGAGTGCAAACTCAGGGTGAAGGTCAGTATGGAATTATCTAACGATGGAAAAACAAACTTTCTAAAACTCTATATATTTACTTTTTTTATTCCAACATTTAGCATATAACGGAACAAGTTAAAGCGAAGAAGGCTGCACAATCCACGAACAGCAAATAAACATCATCGCATAAAAGTAATGATTGATATTTAAATTTAGGTTTTGATATTAATTAACCTATAATCAATAATGAGTCTCGAAGTTGTCCTATTATTAATACCTCGTGACATTACTTCTGTATGAGAACATTAATCTACTGTAACATAGTTTATGTAACCGCGTACAGCAATACTAAAAGACTTCTGCTCGTTCTTAGTAATTAGTGGTTCGATGAAAATTATAGAATAGAGGGTGTCTCTTTGAATAAACGGATAAACACTCAATCACCATTTAATTGGCAGATTTTCCCTATTCGCCAATGCTAATTTGTGTACTGCGTCTTTTTGTTGCAACGCCTGACTTTGACCATTGATGACGGCTAAAATTTCCAAAGCCAGCCTATTGCTAAATTTTTTTCCGGGTCTTTTGTCAGAAGCTTTTAATATCCATTTAATAGCTTTATGATGTTTTTGACGTTCATTAAGCGGACATGGGATTTGAATGGCCTTAGAACCTTTCTTGAAACTTAAATGGCCAACCAAAGGAGAAGCTTTTTCAATTGCTGCTTTAATAATTTTATAAGGATTGTTGTTTGTTTGCTTACGAATTTCAAGACAACAATCTGATACATAACGCTGGGCACGAGCTTTTTTCCCATCTTTCATTATCAGGTCTGTTAAAAGGATTATGGAGGGATCTCTCATTCCTGAATTGGTGTTCAAGTCATCCAAGTTTGATATATTCTTGTCTCCTTCTAGAATTTCGATCCCTGACCTTTCATCGAAAGCATTTTCGAGAGTACCTTCTTCTCTTAAAAATAGGTTATCCATGCTAACAGAATCTTCGATTAAGTTATCCTCTTCATTTTTGACTTGCTCGGGAGTTTCATGCACATTCGTGAAAAAGAGGTTTTTGAAATCATTATCAAGAATGGATTTGGTATCATCCTTCTTTGGAGTTTGTTCTGGATCTTCCAACTTTGGAGAGATATTCTTGAAGAGAGATTCTAACAATTTGGAGGTGGAATCCTTGTCATCATTACTATTATTTGAGAAAGATTGAAAAGAACGACGATATTGTATAAATGGTGATGGTTGGGAAGGAAATTTGATGAATCGCCGTGAATTTTCCGAAGCTAATCGCTTGAACGATAGGAAACGCATTTTGACAAGTTTTGTAAATTTTCCGATCTACAATAGCATTTCATTTATTTACTATATACAGTAGTAGTATATGCATATTTTTGCAAACAAAAAAATTATTCCGCTTATTTTTCTACAACCATCATTAGTGAATCACGTGCATAAATAAAATAACATGGAAAATTCGATTAGGTGTTCTTTTTTTTTTTAGTTGGAACAAAAAAAAATGGGTACCAAGAATAATATAAATAAACCACCGCCGCGTAATCTATTGAGGGAAGGACGAATCAAAAGAAGAAATATAACTTCGATTCTACGCAAAAACGGTATTAAGAAACCCAACCAATTGGTTATACACGGAAGAGATCTGTCTAAGAAGAAACAGAAAAGAGTAGAACGACGTATCAAATATGTGAGTGAAGGATCGGTCTTTTCAATTAAGAATTTTCGCGTCTAATTTTTATCCTTTGTTATAAAGCATCTACAGGGACTTCTCGAAAGAGGCGAAATGGTACCCGAAAAATTACCAATCTTTGGTAAAATTTCATTATTTTCCTCGACACATTTACAAATTAATAAATTACATATTATACGCGAGGCTAACTATTCTCATTTTAATTTCCAGAGGAATCCTCAACATCTAAATTGATAAAGAATGCTGATAACAATGATAATGGTAATATGGATATGGATATAATGTCGTTTGGAAATGGTACTATGTTGGGGTCGCCCGGATCTATTTAGCATACAACCTAATTAAGTAGAAGCCGTGCATGTAATGAAGTAAATACACCAATCAAACCTAAATGTTTGATGATTAATTGCGCGTGAAACGTGTGATGATTGGAAATTATGATCATTAGTACATTATCCCGTGCTGCACGCTGGACGTGAGGCAATTTTCCACAAAGCCAAACAGACGCAAAGTTAGAAGGATTATGGGAGATTTTCACTTTTAGGTACTGCATTGCGAAATATTGCGATCTACTAAACCCTATTTACATGAGTATAGCTAAAAGCAATGTAACATCGCAGATTCTTCTATATGATGAGCATATATTTAAAAGAATTCAATCAGAGTTTAATTTCACAACGAAAGGTCATATACCTTTGGGTTTTTTTGGTGGCATCTTCGATTTAATGGCTCTCAAGCAATTTTTGATCTTGACCCGCAAATCAGTTTCTAGTATGCAAGAAAAAGATTATATGATCGTACTCTCACTAGTAAAAATTTCACGAGATTTTTGCTTACCATCTTCTGCAGACTCATTAAATTTACTGATTAATAACTTATGAATATTTATTAACTCTTTCTATCATTGAAATAAAATTGAAGGAATAATACCTCAATTATAAATTAAATGCTTATACTGATATGCTTAGCAAAATAAGAGTTAAACTTACGACTGTACTTTCTGATAGCACATTAATTCGATTTAGGGATTCAATGAACATACCCAATGTTTCATCCAACATTATTATATTCTCACGCGGAGACAATAGTTTTAAGGAGTCACCGAGAACCAGAGTCATTCTTTCATGTGATTCACGATAGTATGAAGTGGTTTTGTTATCTAGCGTATTGTATAGTTCTTTGATATATTCAAAACTTTTCACTTGATACTCCCTCAGAAACTTTTTTGGTGTAAATTTGGTAATCGATTGAATGAGTGTGTTGTTCAACGTATAAAATACATCGATCATCGAAGGTATCGATAATTTATCACTTTTGGCTCGGATTTCCCCTGCGCTATTCTTGACTTTTGGAAAATTTTTGATTAAGGCACATAAAATTTTGTAAGGCTCTTCGATGTTGGAATTGTTTGGCCTCATACTCTTAAATTGTAAGATCAACTTCTCAATAATCCTAACTATTTCAGGTGGCCATGGTCGATTGAAAGATATGGCAAATGTTAATTGATGAAACAATTCCAACCATCGAACCGTGTATTCCTTGAATAATGGATTATCGACAGATGGAACCGAACTTTCCTTAGCCCATTGCAAATTGATCTTTAACCTTCTATCGAATGATGATGTCTCTTTCTTTCTACTTTCATTTACGCGTCGTACTGAACTTAAGGGTGATGTGATCGGTGACAATCGGGTAAATGGTAAAGCTGTTTGACGATAGCTATTACACATATAGTGATTACTTATGCTTCTATCCACTTTTTCGCACTCGTCAATAATTGAAACATCGGTAAAGTTCGAAGCCTCCGATAAATAATCAGATTGTTCTTCAGTTTCAATAGTGACCGTTGGCGAATCAGAAAAATGCGTAGGCTGACTATTATCCAGTTCGTTCAGATATTCGTCAATTGAACCTTCAGATTCGGTGAAATCTATCGTTGTCGCGTCAATGCTGTCTGGATGAATGAAATGTTCTCTATTCTTCTCGACTCTTGGTCTTTTTATTTGGCGTCGAGCATTCGAACCGTCCAGGCTGATAAGAGTACGTTTGTGCATATTACGAGGCGCTGGTTCGTTTTCAGAATCAGAAGTAACTAATGCTTCTCGTGAGACGGTAGGGCGTTTGTTAAAGGCAGGTGAACTTTCATCTGTGGAGTCGGGTGTGTCGAACCCGCGTCCCTCTTCATCAGAATCGCAAACGACAAATCCATCCTCCTGTGCTTCATAATTATATCTTTCCTTATCGAATCCTGATTCTCTTTCTCTTCTCAAAACTTTTTCGTCGACTTCGATGGGTATTCCCGCGTTTCTTGCTCTTATCCTTTCAATGGAATATGGTGCCTGTTGTATTGGATTTCTTTTTCGCAGTTGGCGTGATGGCGGCAGGCTTTGTACATTTTCGTCATCTGTTTCGGCTGGAGGGGTCTGCATATTTCGTATATCTGTATTTATAACCGATTTACTTTCTAGTAAAAAACCTTTGGGTTCGTGTCTTTCCATGAATAAGGTGAAATTTTCTTATTTATTTCCAGACGCGATTCCCAAATATACGTACTGTATATACACGTACAATAGATTTGGATTACGTCACCGAAGATCATCAGCTGATCTGAATTAATGACTAAACTATAGTATTTTTTTATCTTATACTGTATATCAGAACAAGATTTATTGTTACTTGCAATCTTGACACTTTTAATGAAGGAGGAAAATTAAAATTTCATATTATAATAGAATTTTTAAATTTAATACACAATTGTTTATTTAAGGTAAAAAAAAAAAAAAAAAAAAATTATTCATATTTTTTAACGAAACTCTAATCCTATAATTATACTTTATTTAAGTCTCGAAATTAATGCACCATCATTATAACATAAATTACGAAAGATAAGATCTCCCAAGCCAATCAATTTCTTTTCTAGGAATATCCCAAGTCCAACAATCGTCTTTTTTCGAATCATATAATGTCAGGGGTAAATCGTATGGGATGCGAATTGGAACAATCTGGCATGATTCTTCATCGATTCGTTTTCTCTTTTTGGAAGAATTTGTTGATGATTCGCTGACTATAAACGATGGTAAACTAGGTTTCAAATTTTTCAAGGTAGCATTCAACAAATGCACAGGAATAGATTCATCCATCTATATGATCATTATATAAACGTGTCAGTAAGGTGGGGCAAAGACTGATAAGAAACGATCGATTAATTCATACTTGAAATAATTCGGGATAAAACAAGACTCCTAATTCATAATTTCGTATCATAAGTTGTATTCCTTTCTTCTGCAAACTACCCCATGCCGCTTTAGACAAATTACTGCTGGTCAATAAAAACCATGCAACTTCGGCATTGGATTCGTGACTTAGTTCGCTTGGGGAATTTGCCCGTAATCGAGTATAAGTCTAACATGCTTCATATTTTTAATATATAACTCTAGTGTATTATTAAAAGCAGAGATAGAAAACTTGAAAACCTTTATATGTGGCATTGCTCTTTCTCTTCCATTGTCAAATGCTTTCCATTTACAAAGGTATTTAATCATATAATTTTTTTGTTTGGTATAATTTGCATGAGTAAATGGCAACGATTCACCAGCAGACCAGCCCTCCAAGCTATCAAATAATAAAATAAGGTAAACACTTCATGCAACCTCAAAACTAATTCAGTCACAGATGCTAACCTGTCCCGAACATTTTCAACGGTTGGAAAAATCAATTTCAGATCAGGATCTCTACTCTGCTTTTCATTTTTAGAACAAGATAAGCTATAGAAGAACTCATCTTTTAACCAACTTTCTTTCGTGCCAAGTGATCCGATGCTGGAAAACTATTCATTTAATCCAACGAATTAGTCATGATTATTTAATAATTTGTTGATTTGTAAATTCTAGTATATACCTGACAAATGACAGTGCTGTCGTTCTGGCAAGAGGATGGTATGGTGACGCGATTTCCTAATACTGTTCTCAGGCGCATGTGACCCCATTTCAAAAGACTATCCTTTGTGTGGTAACCGGGAACAGATGCTATTAAAACTGCCTGTAAATTTTTATTAGAAGTTATTTCCTAGAATTCGCTAGGTAAAAAATTATTCGTAAAACAGACTTGCTACCTTTACAGATGAAAAATCATAATTCTTTAATCTTTCACCGTATTCCCTCATGGTATTATTACTGTAACTTTTAAAATAATTTATTAAGTCCGTTTCGAATTCGCATGATGAAGAGTCGTTACGTTTTCTAGGTAATATAGGCGTCATATATACACCCTGAGATTTGTTACTAAAAAAAAAAAGAAGATTCGTGTAAAGAAAATTGATGGGCTATAAATGATTCCAGACATGCGTAACTGAGGAATGAATCTTACCACCATTCTCTTTCAATTATGTTTGCCGTGTGAATTACAACACGCATCGTACCATCCGTAAAGAATAATAACATTGCCTGTTAAGTTCAATTTTAATTAGCCATTAATTATTCAAAATGATCTTGCAAGCTTAAAATGCACCTTCGTGTGATGAGTTCCTATGATGAAAATTTGAGATTATTTAATGCCTACTAATTTAATGTACAAACAACGAGACCTTGACTTACCGTAAGTTATAGGCATGCTCACAGGCACCACCTTTATGTTCCGATAAAGTAGTGCCACGGTCTAATCCAAGAGAAACGTGATCAATGGTTTAGCTAATTAGAATAAATTAAAAGCCTTCGTTTGTCGTTATAATTACTCTTATATTTTTCGCGCTTTCATCACGTAGACCGTGAACGATGGTCGTACGTAACGAGTGTCGTTTCGATTGCGGCAATTGGTTAATTAAATATTCAATGTCGACCATGTAGTTAATTTGAACCATCTCTTCTAAATCTCCCTGATTAGAAAATAATTTTTTTTTTCAATAATTATACATTTCATATATAGGTTAATGAATACTTACCGAAGACAAAATTGAACTCAAGGTAATGCTGCCAACATTTTCCGAAGGAGAAAGAACACTGACACCAACAAGTTTAAAACATGGTTCTGCATAAAAAGTGTTATGTGTTTTGCTAGCAGTCGAAGCAGACGAGTTGCTGGATACTGAGCCTTCTAGCTTTCGAAGTTTATTAGCAGACATCCTGGTCGAAATTATCTATCAATTTTTAAGACGCGACTTTATTTAAATTACGAATTTTACAACTGGTCATGTGATATAATCTATTATACTCAGTTTTCAAGTAAATAAAATATTCGTTAATAAATTTAAAAAATTTTTTTCTATATACTGTAAGTATAAAAATAAAAAATAATATATTTTCAAGTTGAGTAATTTTTTATAATTTAATTTAATCAACTTTTATTTAAAATTATTATTATTCTTCTTTATTAGCAGGATGCTTTTCAAATCTTGTTTTTTATTAATTTTTTATACAACTATATAAAATTTATAACAATTATTTTGTTCACTTATAAAGAAATATTGATATAGCAATATTAACAGGAACAAATACAAAATAAAAATTGCAAATATTGGAAACACCAGAATTATGACATTATCTGAAGCAATAACAACAAAGAAGCAGAAGTGGCAATAATAATTAAAAAGAATTAAGCAAATATATAAGCAAAATTAAAAATATTTGGATAAAGAAATAAGTACAGAGAACTTTCCTTAAATGCACCCTCCATAAATGCATTCCTTCTTTTAATACACCTTAAAGTATAGTCCCAAGTTGGGGATATAATATTAAATGCACCCTCTATATTCTACACGTGCATTAAATTTTGTAAATTATTTATATATTT